CTATGCATTGAGATTGAAATTTGACCAATCAGGACAAGGAAATTTTAGTTTTTTTTATCCTGATTGTCAAATTTCAATCTTTGATATGTAGGTCGGTATTCATAGTCAGTTCTTATATTTAAGACCGTCTTAAGCACAATCTTAAGATGTCCTAAACCAATCACAGAGCCGTATTAGCATCTTAAGACATTACTTAAGACGGTCTTGAAATAAGAACTGACTATGAATACCGGCTTCTATATATTTTTCATAATAAAAAAAGTAACTAATTATTTCTAGGGGCTCTAAAGCCCGTATCAGACTACGTATTGAAGATTGAAATTTGACAAATCAGGATAAAAGGAATTGAAATTTCCTTGTCTTGATTGGTCAAATTTCAATCTCAATGCATAGTCTGATACGGGCTTAAGACCTAGTTTACACGGATATACTTTAATACATACTAATCATAATCAATCATAGGCTATGATCGGGAAAACGCTACAAATGCTTCAAAGCGTTTGATTAACCAATCAGAATAAAAAAAGATAAAGATTTCTTTATTCTGATTGGTTAATGCAATGCTTCGCAGCCATAATCATTTCTTCAAAGAATGGAATGGCTGTGATTGGACAGTATAGTATTTAGTATGTATTAAGGTACATTTTCACGAGCCGCTGGAATCAACCGTTTGAGCGACAAAAAGGATTACGTGATCGAAATGGACGAATCAGCGGCCAGACCGTCGTCACTCATTCGTCCATTTCAATCACGTGATCCTTTTTGTCGCTTAAAGGCTTAAACGATCGATTTCAGCGGCTCGTGAAAATGTATCTTTAAAGTATATCGGTGTAAACTAGTTCCAACTGAAATGATAAGAATGCTTGGTTTTCCTTCACCTCTATTTTCTGTTGGCCACCCTGCTAATTTTAACCTTCGGTTAATCTAACCGAGCTTGGTGAAATTGGCCCTTAAAGGCCGTCTACAATGGCAGTAACAAGGCTGTAGGAATAGGAGAGTATACTGTTTTTAGTGATGTTTAGACGGAGAGTAACGAAATGGGCAATTCCCATTTG